CAGCACGCGGTCCATTCGAATAGTCGGGGAACCCTTGTTTGGAGGCGCCACCGGCGCAGAGCGAGTCTTCCAGGTCAACGAAGCTCGTGATGCTTGACTGCAGTAGCTGCGCAAAGGCGACATCCTTCTCCTTCACGCGCTGCACCTTTAGGTGCCACTGCGATAGCAGCACTGCGAACTGGACCGCGCGTCCGAAGAGAGACTTCGACTTATGCACCCACTCTAACGTCGAGAATCGTGTATAGACATGTAGCGTCTTTTCTGGCAGCTGGGACGTAACAAGATCTTTCACAGCGAGAAGTAACGCCAAATCTTCTTTCTCAGCAGGATGGTAGTTCATCTCGCTCTCCTTGACACCAGACCGAGAACCCGTACGGGGTGTAACTGTGCCTTCATGTTCTCGCATTAGCGTAGTGCTCAACGCCCATTCATTCGCAAAGAGCATGACGAAAACTTGCTTTCGACCGATCGAAGTGCCTGAGGATGGGTGAATGTGAAACACTCGTCTTTCAATCTTTTGAAGGAACGACGTGCCACAGAAAGGCCACCTTCAACGACAAAGTCTTCATCCTTGAGCTGGTACAGCGCCGCACCGTAGACCGCGAAGTCTTGAATGAAGCGGCTGTAGTAATTAACCGCTCCAAGAAACGACTGCATGCCCTTCTTGCTCGTTGGAAGCGAAAGCTCGGTGATGGCCGCAAGCTTCTTGCGGTCAGCTCTGATACCTTCTGGCGAAATTTTATGCGACAGAAAGTCCACCTTGGGTTGGCAAAAGATACTCTTGGTGAAGCTAATGCTGATCCGACACTGTGCAAATCTTGCTAGCAATCCCTCCTAGCAGTGTTGGTTAAACCACTGGTGGTATACTCCATTAACACCAATCACCATGGTTGTCCGTTTTTTTTCTGGAGTTTTGGTGGCGTTACTATGGTTATTTGGTGTTATTACTGGCAATTAGTATGGTGTACGCATTGTGTATGTAATGTTGCTACACGAAAAAAAACTCAAGTTGGGTACGCTCAAGATGCGACCAAGCTCCACCACACGAAGTTAGCGGCGGTGTGGTGGCTACGGGGGCAGCTGTGGTCGACCAAGTGGACGAGTTCATGGCACTGGATTCAGAACTTCCTATGCTACCTGTTGTACTTAAGAATGATGACGAAATGACAGTGTTCGCTGAGACGACGCTGATCTTCTTGAACACGACGTACTCCTCTGCTGCAAGACTGAGCGAGCTGTCGCCTGGTAGCTCCACTAGACCCACAATGATGTAGTCCTTCTGCTGTCGGTAGCGTGAACGTATTGGTCTTTAGAGCCTTAGCGCCGGGCCGTAGCGAAAGCTCCACGGTGGAGACGAAGACGCGTGAGGAGACGGAGACGGAGGTGAGCGGTCTCGCGACGACGTCGACGTCGACGTCTGGTGGCCGCGCTATTCGGTCGACCGTGGAGGCCGGTGCAGCCCCGGGTGAGTCGGCTTAGACGGAGGTGTTCCAGTCGCAGGAGGCCGACGGCAGCATCGTGACGAAGACGGTGAAGACGACGACGCGTACTTCGACGAGTGCCAGCGGCGAGCTGGTGAGGACGGTCGAGGTGGAGACCACAACGGAGACGGAGACGACGTCTGGCGAGAAAACCACGACGGTGGAGACGGAGGTGAGCGGTCTCGCGACGACGTCGACGTCTGGTGGCCGCGCTATTCGGTCGACCGTGGAGGCCGGTGCGGCCCCGGGTGAGTCGGTTCAGACGGAGGTGTTCCAGTCGCAGGAGGTCGACGGCAGCATACGGTGAAGACGATGACGCTGTTGGGTTGGTATGCAAAGTGGAGCACACTTCCTGCATCTCATACGAGCTACCAGCTAATTCATTATCTTAATATGTTGGTGTTATGTTGTCCTACTACGGTAGGTTTCAAATAAATGCTGTGTTGTCTACAGACGCCATTTATTGTCCAGACGGCTCGACGATAGGCTACTTAGTTTGGGACTCGCTAAACCTTCCAGAAGTCGCTGAGTTTTATGTGCTCAGGCTGCATTCGTAGTCGAATGTTCCTCTCCATTTACTTCGCACAAATGTGTACTGCGTGTATTTATCTCAACGCACTTCAACTGGAAGACCCTACCATAGTTTATCGTTTCATCGACTGGCTGATCAAACCTGCCCCTCTCAGCGGAAGCGCACCGGGCTCGCAAAATGCCAAACTGCATTTAAACCATCACATAGAGTTAGCACAAATACCCGAGTTAGTGCTGTCACGAACGATTTACCTGGATCTTCAGTTAATGCTTTCGACGTATCCCATAGCTCCGCCAACGAAATCTTCTGACCACGTAGCCCCGTCAGCCACTTTTTCCCTGTGGGAAACTTGGCGGTCGTTAAAAAGAAAGGAAATGGGCTCCTTAATAGACTCCTTGGAATGTCTTCCCTCGGACTGCTGCCGCAATTTTGATAATCTTGTCTCTGAACGCCACGCTCAGCTTCGTCACTGCCCCGGTCTGCCGCGGTAGTATTGCTCTCGATCTACTGTCAGAATCACTACAGTACGACGCTCGATCGGCCAGATAACTCACTGATCTCAACCACAGCCCCTGTGATTCGGTGGCGGCACGTCTTCATCTCCATCTAGCTCTGCCAGAACAGCACCCCAGTATTCAAAAGCATCGTCCGCCCCCCAACTCACTTCCTGGTTCGTCGTCTGACTCGTCTTCAGTATCGACTTGGTTGCATTCAAATCGTTCGTCTTGGCGTCGAGGGCGCTCTGTTGGGTTGATCAGCTTTTTAATACGCTGGGATTTCAAGATGCTATCAAGCTGATCCGACTCACGAACCTTCTTCCGAACAGCGGCGATCTTTCGAGCCTTCTCCACCGACATCTCGTTCGGTTCTGCTGTGTGAATCAGCGCTCACTCACTGAAGTAGCGCTCGCATGTTGCTGTGTTGACCACAATAGACAGCACTTGCATCGCAAGTATCGACAACTTGCTAAAAGGCATGTCATCGCGCATGAAATCCCAGAACGAACTGACGGTACTGAACCCTCCGTGTGGTGGAAGTGCTAGCTTTCCTTTCAGCCACTTGTAAATATCCTCTCCTAAGTTGCCGGGGTCCAGACGCGTGAATCGCCGATAAATAGTAAACGCCGATGCGGCACAGGGAAGCCTATCGTTGTCAGCGGGGTCCTTGTTTAACAGCTTTTGAGCGGCATTGGTGTGTAAAGGATGTAAAAATAGAGCGAGCAACATGAGCGGCTGCTCACACTGCTTCCATCGTTGCTCCACTTGCTTGATAAGGTTGCGCGTGCCAAACGGACGCACCGAAAATCCTTTGAATATATCCATGTAGCACACACCAACATCCGCGAGCGAGTTCTCGTCGCGCTGCAACTTCAAAGAGGCAAATGCAAGCGGACGCACCACCTCTTCAGCGTCTTTAAGCCGTTCCCAAAATGATCCTCTGCTAAAAACGCGTGCAGCATCAGGAAAATCATCGCCAGCTCGAAACTTAAACTCTAGTAGCTCAAGCGCACTTTGAACGCGCAACAACGATGCAAAACATCCATGCATGCTGTTCCAACGGGTTTCACATAATTGTTTTAGATTCAGGAAATATCCATAAGTATCCACCATGCACGTCCTTGCTTCGACTAACCACTTTGCGGAAGACGCATTCAGAGCATTGACCGCGTCTGATGCTTGCTTGGTGACCTCAGAAAAATCTGACTTCAGAACTGCCTTGACTAAATTGTTTAGATCATGAGCAAAACAGATCTGAAATGAGATATGCGGCCACCGTAGACTTAAAATTCGTCGTGCCCGCGCGCATTGTCCGGCATTATCGGTAACAACGCCACCAATTGTCCAACCATCACTCTGCATCTTTTCCATCACACCTTCCATTTGTTCCGCAATTGCGATAGCGTCATGCCTGGGTCCCGTAGGAAGCAAAGCGTATGTCATACCACACCCAAAAAGAACCAATTGGCAACCAAGCAAGTGAGCGCGAGAAATGTTCTGCCAAACATCACTTAAGAAATTCACGCGCGCACCTTCATTAGCACATTGTACATTACGAAGTGCCGTGCTATCTTGGCTCTCGCAGTCGAAAGCGTACGCGTCTAGAATGGGTCCACCAAGCTTCTTGCGGGTTGGTAGTGGGAAGATGTCAGCGATCATCTTGCTTACGTGACGCAGAAAACGCACAGTAGATAAGCGCTCAATAAAACTGTCAGGAAGCCGATTATCAGCTTGAAACTCAACTAGTAATCTCATGAAGATCTCTCCCTCCGCGTCATGCGATGGTCCTGAAAAAAACTGGTCGATACGCTTCTGTCTTTTCTCACTTCGTGTCGAGGACGCATCGTCGTGAACAGACGAACTGCTATTAGGTTGAAAGGCTGTTGAGCTGGAAGAACGGCTAGCAGCTTCCACAGAGTTGCGTGTTTGAATATAGGCTTGATAGAATTTACAGCTCTTGAGATGGCTTCTATAGTTTTCCGGCCTCCCTCGAAGTCTCTTCGGCTCAGGGACAGGAGGCTCGTGCGGTGTTGCGCGGTGACTACCCTCAGCTGGCTGCCGCGAAGCACGATACGCATTGTTGCAGTGGTTGCAAATGTGGTATGTCCGGTTGTTACCGGCGTCTTCATGCAAGTCTGTGAACTCGTCGCGCTCTTGGCACGATGGGTGGCCCATGCTTCGGTACGGTGAAGTGTTCGATGTGCGATAGCTAAATACACTTGTCGAGCGTGCGTATTTCAGAAATAGAGACTTGCTGTATGTGGTATCAGTATTACTTTGACTGTGGAGACCGGATCACTCCGTCCAACCAACCGCCAGGTGCACTGGTTTTACACTGGTGTTTTCTACACCAAAACCATGGTTTATCCAGGATTTTTATAAAACCATTAAATCCAAAAACCAAAAACCAGCCAACACTGCTCATAGCTCCCTGTTTACTGCAATAACGTATGAAAAAACACACCCTCATAAATATAAGGCGACGGAGTGATCCCGCCACAGTGAGTAATTTGGCAAGCACGAGCTCTCGATGGACAGTGTCGAGCGCACGAACCGCGGATGGGATGCCGGCTGACTGTTTACTTGCGCAAGTAGCTCAGCCACCAACCACTGGCTGGCCGCGTCCGCTGTTTGCTTTTCAGCTTCATTCGCGAATCTGCGTCGGAGACCACAAGCGCATCGAATTGCTGCCAGCGGGCAAGTGTTCATTGGCAGCAATTCGTCAGCGGCACCTCGGTAGTCATTCCTGTTTTTGTCCATCGGGTGAGTGAGTGCCTATTATCTACTGTAGTGCCACTCAATTTGCACACTCGCTCTTGTTTTGTACACCGTTTCTAACGTGATTGTTGTCACTTCAACAGCGGATGGGCTATCCAGTGAGTTGTTATCAATTGAGTGGCATGCATCCAGTCACTCACGTGAAGGTCGTGCGCAGCTCCAACAAGTTCAAGGCCTACAAGAAGCTCGAGCCCAGCTTGTCCCGGCGGGCATCTGGCACCGGGTCCGACTACTTGATTGCTGTCGAGATTCCAGACGATATTCATATTCATGTGTCTACACTGTCCTGTCAGACCGTCACACCGACCGTCGTTGGACATCATTGGGTTGACCAAGGCCTATCGAGGCTCGAGTCACCCACGCTGACAACTTGAAGCTGTTCAAGGTACGGCATCTGGTACCTGCAACTCGAAGCACGCCGAGCAACTGTCCTGGTAAGCTTGGTCGAGGGCGATTCATGGTCGAGCTCAAGTGTCATCAGCAACTGCGGATGAAGCGACATCAAGGTGCAAGTGAAGTTCAAGCATCGAGGCACCAGCTACTGGCACACAACAAAAGTCGAGTTGCATCGTAGACACATTATAGTGGACAAGTTGCATTCCAAGGCAACTGCGTGCTGTTTAACCAAGCTCAAGCTCAGCCGTGCTCAACCACTACCGTCTTCATGTCTGGGCTGCTCTCGGGCTATGACGATGCTTGTCAGTGCACCAAATCTGCTGAGTCCAAGCCATCAATGCTGTACGTACTGCTGTGCTCAACCAGTTCTCGTACGCGGTGCTGTGTTCACTCCATGCATCTACGTCATCAACGTCAAGAGTCCTGCCTACCACTAGCCAACAGCCTTGTCGCTCCGTATGTTGACTTCGCGTGTCCCCGTGCTCGACTGGAGTCTGGTTCACTATGACGTACGCTCGATCACGTTGATGCGGCCATCCCATTCGCCTCGACAGTGCTCCACAGCATCGGCGGGATCGGTGGCTTTGCTCATGTGTACGGCAGACCTGCAACCTATCGAAGCCACATGGAAGTCACCTCCATAACAAGACCAAGAGCTCTCTATCATCCCGCGCATGCAGGACCTCGACGTCGTGAACGAGTTCAATCGGGTATGACCGTTGTCCGATCTTCGGCAAGGGTCGCGTGAAGGTGATTGGTATCGGCTCAGTTCCTCGATGCGTTGGATACGCATCTGGTTGGTGTCGGCACTGTTCGTTGATGTCCCAGCGGCCTTAGTCCAGGTGGTCCAGGTGGATCGACAAGTCTACGCAGAGCTGCAGCGTGTGGCACCTGGGAATCCAGTCTCTGCCTATGCGTTAGTCTCCTGGTCAGCCTTTGACAATGCGCTCGAGGCCTCTGGCGGTACTGCTAGTGTCGAAGCCTACGAAGTTCAGTACGCAGTGTCTGGGTCAGGCGTCTGGCAGTCGCTGGGGGATTCACTGACCGGATTTCGCGTCGACTTGGGTGCTCAAGCCACGGAACACGTGCCCAAGCAGCGTATTTTCACTCGTGCAGACGATGGCGAGTCCATCAACGATGGGTATTTCAGACTTGGCTTGTCGTATGAAGGCTCCAGTCCGAGTATCCTGGGCGGACGAGCTACTGCTGGTGTGGTGACGCCTCCGATCGCTTTTGACGCCAGTGCAGACGCCATGAAGACAGCGATCGAGTCTCTGGAGCAGGTCACACAGGTGCAGGTGGAGAGGAATGCGCTGGACGCTGATGGAGCGTTCGAGTGGATCATTCTCTTTGATCTCGTGGCGTACGACGGCGAAGATCCGCTGCCGTTGCTGTCGCTGTATACAGAGACGGTGTCAGCTCAGTGGACTGGAGACGGAGACCAAGTAGCTGTTCAGTATCTGCGCATGGCTCCGAGTTCTCCTGATCGACATGGACGTATTTGCTCGGATGAATGCAGCTACCAAGTCACGGGACTGCAGACTGGTCGAGCCTTCAGCTTCCGTGTTCGAGCGCAGTATTCGTACGCTATTGGCTGGAGTTCATGGAGTGCAAGTAGTGAACCACTGGAGATCCCAGCGACGCCAGTACCGCGAGCTCCTTCAACCCCCGAGCTACTAGCGGCAACGACTTCTCATGTCACGATCTCGTGGCGTATGCGTCGAGAACTCACGCAGGAAAATGGCATCTTTGCTAGGGAATTCTTCCCCGTCACCAGCTTCCAGGCTCAGCAACAATGCGACAGTGAGATCGGCTGGACTACGATCAGTGAGCGTATACCGCCGGGGTTTAGTGGCAACAGTGACACCTTTGTAACTGTTGTTGCGTCCTTGGATCGTCCGCCAGGTTCCACCTGCGAGTTTCGAGTTGCTGCGACGAATGCCAACGGCCAAGGACCTTTCAGTTTGCCTTCAGCCAAATTCACAACGTTGCAAACAGCTCCGGGTGCTGTGGCGAACTTACGGGTAGCTCGAAACCCGCTTACTGTGGTCTGGAACACGCCTGAGGTGCTGGGCGGACATGCACTGGAAGAGCTAACCTACGATGTGGAATACCGCACAACTCTCGGCTCGACGTGGACGCGATTGCCAGCTGAGCTGGTGGACTGCAGCAGTCGACTCGCCAACATCTCAATGACGTCGCTGAAAGGATACACCACGTACGTCACGCGCGTCAGAGCGGTAGCTGAACGGCAAGCTGGTAGCTTCTCCCAGTCCGCAGAGTTCCTGACAGATTACACGGTTGAAGACGAATCGAACAGCGACAACGTCAAGGATTTAACCCTTGGAACACGCCAAGTGGTGATTGCTGCAGCTCGTCAGCAATGCGCTAACACACAGGACTGGTACTACGTCCAGTTGACTGGGAACGGCGGCAGTGGCGGCTCTACCAGTGGCGATGAAGCCAAACCTGGCGAGCACGGAGCTGTTCTTGTCTTTCCAGTCACGTGGTCGGGCGAAAGACTGGCGGAACATTCTTTTTTCTACACGGGAAGTGTCCAGACCTATCGAGTTCCAATTGACCAGTCTGCTCCTCATCTTGCGCATCGAATTGTTGCTCTTGATGTCTACGCTTGGGGCGCTGGGGGAGCTGGTGCGAGGTCTTCAAACGGAGCTTCAAGCGACTTGAGTAACGGCGGAGGAGGCGCCTTTGCACGTGGAGTTTTCCGTGTCAGTGCCGGTGATGCTGTGGACATTTTAGTTGGCGGTGGAGGCCTTCAAGACGGTCGGGGTGGGTTCAACGGCGGTGGAAACGGCGGCACAGGCGATTTCCCAGGCGGCGGAGGCGGTGGCGCGTCTGAAGTGCGCGTAAATGGACGAACAGCCGTCGTAGCTGCTGGAGGTGGCGGTGCGGGCTCGACGGATTACTGTTGTGCCCCATGGAGGAGGCGGCGGTGGCTTGGATGAAGCAGAGTCTGGTCTTGCACCGGATGCAACAGCGATCCCACTCGACTCACGTGTGACTGGACAAGCAGCTAGAGACGAATATCATTCCTCGAATGTACCGGGAGACACGAAAGACTTCGAGGGACTCCCAGCGAGACATGGACACCTCGACTGGGGCTTTGCTGCGAGTAGTGCAGACTACTTCGTTCTAGCAACTGGAGGCACAGGCGCCACGCCAACAACGGCAGGTGTGGCGGGGACTGCAGGTTCCTATCGCTATTCTCTTGAAGGCACGTGTCTGTTGAACCCGCAGACATCTCTGGTGGACGTCGCCGTGTCTCCGTTGACAGCATCGCATTGGCCTTCGAATGGTCGAAATGGAAGTGGCGGGAGTGGACAGAGTGGCAAACAAGCGGGTGGAGGCGGAGGTGGAGGGTTTTTCGGTGGCGGAGGAGGAGGCGCAGGTGTTGACGGAGCTGGAGGCGGTCGTAGTCGGGAGCAGTATGTTCATCTTCGGAGGCACAGCGGGAGGTACTGGCTCGGAACTGAGCGACTTGTATCGACTGGATTATACCCCCAGTGTGGCGCTCGGTGTCGCGCCAACTGCTCGATGGACGCAACTTGCGTCTCTGACCGACAGAGAAAGCCCCAGTATCGCTGAGAGGAGAGTTCATGCAGGACGGGCAACGTTGCTGACTCCGTTTGAGTTGATGGCTGTCGGGCGTGGACTCAAGTCTCCTCGACGAGCGTCTCTCGGGTCCAGGACGGCGATGGCAGCTTCTCGCTTCGAGTCGCAACTGGACGTTCGTTTGAAGCGTCTCGAAGATCTGATCGACGGATGGAGAACTGTCGCTACTGCATCTGGAGAGGATGAGAGCGCTCTTGACGAACAGCGTCCTGTGCCTCGGTACTGGGCTGCTAGCGCCTTTGTTTCCTCACTGCCAGGCAGTAAGGTGCCGCGTGTATTCCTGTTCGGCGGCCAAGATGACACGACGCTGCTGGACGATTTTTGGAGTCTGGAACTGGCTCAGCTAGATGAGGATTTCCCTCAAGATCGTCGAAAGAGTCAACGGATCAGAGCGTGTGCGTGGAGACAAGAGAACTCGGTGTACAGGACACAGTGGACATCGTCTTGTGGGGCAAGCAATACGGCAGCTGCAGTAGATAAATGCACACTGGAGATGCTGCTGTTGTACGCATGGTGCGACGAGTATTACCAGTCGATTGGATTATAAACAACATAGAGTGTATCTATTATAATGAGAGCGGTTTTGCGTAGGAATCAAATTGCACATGGCCTTGCTTGGAAGTGATTGCTGTGTAGATGCTTGTTCAATCTTCCTTTACCATAACGTTACAGCAAGTTTGATAGGGGCCAGTATTGAAAGCTTCAACTTGGAGAGGATACCCACATTTGGCGGTGAGCAAGCTGGTACCAGCGAATTGGTACACTGATGCAAAGAATTTTTGGAGATACAAACCCGGATGGGTATTTTGCATCTGGACCTAATCTGTGTATGCTGATAATTCTTATTTGCGTTCCCCTCAATATCACGATCATTCTACCCTCATAGCTCCCTGTTTACTGCAATAACGTATGAAAAAACACACCCTCATAAATATAAGGCGACGGAGTGATCCCGCCACAGTGAGTAATTTGGCAAGCACGAGCTCTCGATGGACAGTGTCGAGCGCACGAACCGCGGATGGGATGCCGGCTGACTGTTTACTTGCGCAAGTAGCTCAGCCACCAACCACTGGCTGGCCGCGTCCGCTGTTTGCTTTTCAGCTTCATTCGCGAATCTGCGTCGGAGACCACAAGCGCATCGAATTGCTGCCAGCGGGCAAGTGTTCATTGGCAGCAATTCGTCAGCGGCACCTCGGTAGTCATTCCTGTTTTTGTCCATCGGGTGAGTGAGTGCCTATTATCTACTGTAGTGCCACTCAATTTGCACACTCGCTCTTGTTTTGTACACCGTTTCTAACGTGATTGTTGTCACTTCAACAGCGGATGGGCTATCCAGTGAGTTGTTATCAATTGAGTGGCATGCA